CTTCATTAGGATGCAGGGACGCGGAGGCGTCTACGTGGCGCATAAAAATGACGTGACGCCTATTGTAAAGGTAGCTTCGCCAAAACTATGGAGTGGGCTTTACAGTCCTATGCAAATGTAACCAAAAGAGTTTACGATCAATTCCTACGTTTGTTTATGGAACATAAAAAGATTTCTTGTCCTATTATACAAGGACGAAGGTAATGAAGCGACGACATGGAAATTGTAAAAGGGTTGTTATTAAAGTCCCTATTAAAATACATCAAGGGTTTCTGTTAAAGTGGACATTATAAATTTATTTCTGTCCGAAATGAATTCGGTAAACACGCAGACTGATTCAAGTGTTTTCGCAGTGTCTGGAATAATTTAATTAATTACTGATGAGGAACATTTTCGCCTCATTAAAAGTTGCTCTCAGACGAGTTTTACACAAGAGAATTGGGCAATCTTATTCTCTTAAGTATTAAATGTACAGTTAAATAATATATTTGCACCTTTTAATTTGGAAGTACCGTACGATTTGAGTAAGTCAAGTAGATCTAAATAAAATATTAAACTCAAATTCAGTACAGGACTTCTCCATCAATTTTAAAAATATTAAAAGCATCCAGATCTAAGAAAGTAATGTTAAAAATGGTGGCACAATAAGTCTTTACAGGTAAAATTTATAAAACGTCTTCATTGTCATGTGTATAACTCTAAATTGACCATAACAAAAGTCCTGTCTACAATAAAACGACAAGGAGTCGCCTAAACACTAGCGCCACTTGTACAAATTGATTTCCTTGGCTGATTGTAACATGAACCTGTCTTATCACAATGACCGTAGGGTTCATTTTACATTACAATTTGTATAAATCCTGGTTTGTTAGTGTTATCGTCGCTCCCTCGTATCCGGAGTGGAGTAACGCTTGGCGGGCACGTTTATGCACCTGTCGCCAGTATGGCGTTTCCTATACAACTTGTATAGCGTTATTCTATCCCCACAATGACGAATAAAGTTCACTGTCTGCTTCTCGCTGTGGGTATCGACTGTGATATATTGTATTGACATCTATTGCTGTCTCACTTTTTTCAACTAGAATGTGAGGGATGAATTACGTATTCTGATACTCTCACTTACGTGGATAAACCTGTCTTCTATTATAGCTATCGTTATATTTTTGATGTCTTAATTAATTAACTATTAAATATCACGAAGGTAATTTTAATCTCATAGCAACGAAATATTTTTAACGCTACATTTTTCATAAATTTAATGTTTAGGTCGGGTCAGGAGTCTTTCACTAGTAAAATTCAGGTCATGCTAAGTACGAAGTGAGTGTACCGGTTGAATTAACAACTAAGCAATTAAAGTTGGTTAATCAAAGGAACCTCCGGGAACGTTCGTTCATAAGTTACCGGGTTCTTAGTAAAACTTCAGTTCATCATAGAGGGCAATTTTGTATATGGTGTCTACATCCATCTTTAAATATGCTTAGCTTGTAATCTGTGGGCATGCTTTGTCCGTTATTTGGTGGAAGACATGGTATACACAATAATTGACTTTTATTAACAGAAAAGGGTAGCTAACGAAACATCTGATCATCAAAAGAGCTCTTTATGTTGTCAAATTACTTCGGAGAAAACTTATGTTTAAAAGTGCAAGTATTTACATTTAAGTAGTACACTATACTTAGAACTTAACCGGTGGTCTTTATGGTCAAAAGTCAAAGTATTCTTATTATATTCAGTCATCAAGAGGTCACTGGTGCGTTTCGTCATATTTTATCAAAGACTAAAGAGTCAAAGAAGAGCTATTGGCATTAGATAACCCACTACGCGTATTGTGACATTTTTGGGGTCATTTTAATAAATCTGTTACTTTGTTATAAGGTTTCAATGAAGGAATAATAATTATACTTTATAAGCTTTGTGTTGGATAGCACGGACGCTAAACCTAGATTTTATTGACCTATCTTTGGTAAGTCTAATATAATATAAAGAAATAAAAGAATAGCAGTAACTGGGTGGTTAAGAATGCCTTAGTAAAGATTTAAAATGTTCACAGACTGTGAGTACGGCGGTAAGACAATAAATCTTTCACTACATGTGCCGCTTTCATGCGTCATCGCCCGACTGGAGATGGTCGTTAAGTGTTACCACTCGAAACTATAGGCCAGGCGTTACTATCCTCACTTGTTTATGTCGGGACATTGAATATGTGAAGCAATCCAACTATCAATGATGTATTGTTTTGTCAAGAACAGTGGCGTCGTTATCGATAATTTCTATTTCAAGAACTGTATTGTCTCAAACATGAATAAATCGCTTACTTGATTTATAACTTGAAGATCGCTGTCTAGTATACGAATCTCTACTTCATCACCGAATTACCATTGCCAAAATCTTCAACAAAAATATATCTCTATCTTTCATTTCGTCTGAAAGAATTGAGATTACGATATTTGTTTAGACAGAAGCCTACGATCGTGTCAGCTTTTACGTAAAATCTACTGCAGCGAATTTACGATCAATAAATACTAGGCCTGGTTTTTAATATATTCAGATATAAAAAGCACTAAATCGTATCAGGACGATAATTTACATGAGACGATGAGATCTACTATAAAAGTTTAGATGGATGGACTGACGGATGTTTATTTCTACGTATCACTAGAACAGGTGGATCTTGCTGAAAGGCGTACGTTGAGCATAGTCTGGAACATAAGCTACTGTCGTAGGGAGTAGCGATAGCTATTCAAAACATCGACGTATTTGGCATTTTACTATGATCAAGATTGGGAATAATGTTGAATGCCTACCTACTAGGTAGGCGTAAAACGTAAATAAAACCATTTTTAGAACGCAGAACGCTGGCTCGGAACTATAAAATACGCCCAATATAGATTTAAAATAAAGCTCCATAACATATTCTTACCACAAACAGCTTGCATACCCTTTTTGTTGGAATTAAGCATATTTGTATCAAAAATTACACAATTACTATAATAATTAACATCAACAAAATAAAAATTAGTAAATGTGCCTGATTTTTTTTTGTTAATTACTTTAATTTAAGAATTTTCAATAAAAACCTTACAAAAGTACCGAATATAACATTGAACAATTGTGTAATATTGTGTATTTTAACAATAATGTATACAGTAAATTAAACTATTACATTAATAAAATTGAAATGTATCCAGTTTTAGGCAAACTAATTAACAAGTTAATAGAACCAATCCATTAGTTAAACAACAGTGTCCATTTAAATTAGGCCTCACATTACATGCCCATCCCTAAATAAACACCCACCTCTAGGCTTTATTTCCTTCACTACTTTTAAATTTAAAAACAACACTATTTCTAGTCAATTACTCAATAGGTATATAAAATTGAAGGATTTTTATTGATTTACATTATAATACAAAATTTGTTACAATATAATTTATCAATGAAATTGAATTATTAAAAACTTGTTGCTTATGACTTTGTAAGGAATTAAAATAAAATAGCATAAAGTATAGCCTATGTTACTCAGTGATAACATAGCTTTTCAATGTTGGAATATTTTTAAAATCTGTCCAGTTGTTTTAAGTTATTCCAATACAAAAATAAATACAAATCTTTCTTCTTAAAATTTGTATAGCAATAATTATTCAGCCAGGATTATTTTAATGAAAATTTAATTAAATAAGTATTCTTATTAGATTAACCATATAATTATCGTTTGAAAACCTAGTGATTGTAGTCATTTTTATATTATTTTGCTAAAGTTATGGACAATCTTTAAAAACAAGAAGACAGCTATGGATTTACATCTTAAACAATAAATTTTAAAACAAATACAAGTAAAAACGAATTCAAAAATACAGAAATGTTATTGTACAGTAGGAAAACATCGTTTTATCTTCAATCGATTTAAAGTGATAGAGCTTATGAGAGATAACGCTTGTGCTTGTAATAACAGGCCGTTGATTGGTAAACAAAAACAACATCTAATAACACTAAAAACGCCGTTACCATGATATAAAATGTATCAAAATACGGAATGAAGACACAGATAGGTTGTGAATGCAGGACGATTTATTTATAAATTTAACTTACCGGCCACAACTGTATCACTCAAGTCAAATTTCACTGGTTTAGGAAACTCTCTTAACTTCCGCCCACTCAACTTTAATTCACCACTTAAGTAAGCATCTTCAAGAATCCTTTCTAAAGATTTCGTTAACTGACTATGAATATTATTGTGACCATTCATATTTACATTCACACTTGGCCGCAACACGGCCATATTCTTTTTGAACTGAAACGAAACTGACATTTTTAAATTTGTCTATGCCATGACAGCGGTGAACAGCAAAGAGCAAGTCGAGCAATGTTTCGTTTAAAGAATGGCTAACTTCATTGCGCTGGAATAAAAGCATTTGTAAAAGAGAAAGTTTAAAAGAGGTTTAATTTTAAAGTTTTATAACGCTCGATTTGAAGATCGATTTTCAGATTGAGTTGTATAAAGAAACTTCTCTATTTTTCTCAATTATAATAGTAGAAAAAAAAATGATAAAAGTCAGCTGTCAGGCTGTCAGGCGCAGTGTCAAATTGACATTGACATTTGGCCATGGCAACCGTATTTAAAATCGAGCATAACCTATAATTTTGCGCTGTGCAGGCTATTTCATGATCGATTAATATAAAGTAATAATACAATTAAAATGACACTAATAAATTTATATCGGATAGCAAATCTACCGAAGGTTTTGAAGATCCTAAATGTCTGCCAAACACAGGTATGTTGCTAACAAGTTTCAAATTTTTAAATGATTTTCAGATCAATTTCGTATAGTATATTAGTTTTTGTTACATAATTTTAAAAGTATTTTACGAAACGAACTGTAAAGTTTTCTCTAAGGAAATTCTTTGTGTCGATAAAAGTAAGAAGTACAAATTTACCAAATGAAAAAGAAATCAATAAATAACGTCGCACAGATTTACATGTTAAATAGTTACATAGATTTAACTCAGGGCAGTGCAAAAAGTTTGGATACTATTATACTTATTTTTCTTTCAGCCATATTCCTCCCATGTAAAATTTGCTGAGCATAAAGCTTTGGAGAAAATAAGAAATATTGGTATCTCAGCTCACATAGACTCTGGTAAGACAACTCTTACAGAGAGGATATTGTTTTACACAGGTCGGATTGATGCTATGCATGAGGTGAGGTTCTGTAAAATTATAATTAGTGTTTTTCATCTCTGTTTACCGTAGTAACAGAATTTTAATACAATTACTTGTTTATTACATTTTATTCATGAAAACATGGTACAAAGAACATTAAACTAAAAGGTACCATCAGGAAAATTTAGAAGAATCATATTTTTTAGTAGGAATCATCATTTACTTGTTATTATCTCTCTTTATATATGGTTGAAATGCCAGATTTTCGACTAAAGAAAAATGCAAAAATCCAGATGCATGGATCCTCAGATTTGGTTAAGATGTAGAGCATAGTCTGGATAAACATGCTTCTAATTACATTTTCTTAATTCCGCACAGACAGGTTTATGAACAGTTAGTTAATAAAATTAATATATAAATTTCAGGTAAAAGGTAAAGACAATGTTGGTGCGGTTATGGATTCAATGGAATTAGAACGTCAAAGAGGCATAACTATTCAATCTGCTGCTACATACACAATTTGGAAAGACCATAATATCAATATTATTGATACACCTGGCCACGTAGACTTTACAGTTGAAGTGGAAAGAGCTTTACGTGTGTTAGATGGTGCAGTTTTAGTACTATGTGCTGTAGGAGGAGTACAAAGTCAGACGTTAACGGTGAATAGACAAATGAAACGCTATAATGTACCTTGTCTTGCTTTTATTAACAAGCTGGATAGGTTAAGTGCGAATCCATCAAGGTTAGTCTGGTTTTGTATTGTTCTTTGAAGTTATAAATCTTGCAGTCTATTATTCCATTATTTTTTCAGTGTTAAGTACTTGGTATAGGAATATTTAAATTAATACAATCATAAACTCAAATTATATAAACAAATCTTTGTCTTCATTGTTTATGTTTTTATATTTTTTTTTTGGCATTGAGTTTGTATCGGTTAAATAAACAAAAACCACTCAAATTCTGATGTATTTCTAGATTACTATTCAAGATACCAGAATCTGCTGTTAAAGAATTTTGGCATGCAGATTGATTCCTATTGGGATGTTTTCTCCTTTAGGTCCATTAATTTGTGGGCCGATCAAACCAGTGAGAAACATCCAAATTATTTATCAACACAAAGATTGAGTAGTTTATATGTGTTGTATTATTACAGAGTATTAAAACAGATGCGCTCAAAGCTGAATCATAATGCAGCCTTTCTTCACTTACCTATTGGTTTAGAAAAAGAATGTCAAGGTATATTAGACCTTGTGCAAGAGAAAGCGATGTATTTTGATGGTGATTATGGTGAGAAAGTCCGTTTGGATGAGATACCACAAGACAGGAGGGCAGAAGTTCAAGAGAAACGTCACGAATTAATTGAGCATTTGTCAAATGTGGACGAAAAATTGGGTAAGATTTTTTAACATTTATCATACATATGTTTTTTGCTGCCTACTTGGGACATACAATTTTTATTTTACGTGTTTTATGTCAAAAAATATACTATTTTTTACAAAAAATGTAAAATCTATCACGTTTTTTTTTGTCTGATCATTCTAACTTATATTTTAAATTCATTTATATAATATTTTTAGATAGTTCGAGACAAATGACTTAAAAAAAATATGGACGATCGTTCATACCAACAATACTTGTTAATTATTTTAAAACTAACACAAAGTCAAATATGTAAAGATATCGAATGTTCTATGGTGACGACTAGAAATGTACTGTCCGACTGAAACAGCTCTGTTCGACTCCTAGCAAGTGTTTTATAAAACTACCCCCCACTTATCCTTCCGTTTCCTAACAATATTTTAATTTCAGGTGAAATGTTTTTAGAAGAAAAAACACCTACCATAGATGAATTGAAACAGGCAATCCGTAGGGCTACATTAAAACGTGTATTTACACCAGTACTTCTAGGTACAGCGTTAAAAAACAAAGGTGTACAACCATTACTGGATGCGGTACTTGAATATTTGCCACATCCAGGTGAAGTTGAGAACACAGCTATATTGAATGAGAAAAAGAATTCCGAAGGACAAAATATATTACTGGATCCCAGTAGAAATGATAAGAAACCATTTGTCGGTTTAGCTTTTAAGTTGGAATTGAGTAAATTTGGACAATTAACTTATTTAAGATGTTACCAGGGTATGTTGAAACGTGGAGATAATATTTTCAATGCTAGGACTGGGAAAAAGGTATGTATTTTTATAAATAGATATTACAATATTTCAAATAAAAAGAATTGTTTGATTTAAGAAATGTTCGAAATACATTTAAAAGTAAATTATCTACGACGTGATTATTAGATCTATAAAGTATTATACTATTACCTTTTTCAACGATTTTTCAATGAACTTTTCAACATATTTTTAATCATGTTTTCAACAAGTTTTTAATGATATTTTAAACTGTATTTGAGAAAAAATCAAATATTTCCTTTATGTCTTTTAGGTGAAAGTGTCTCGTTTAGTACGTATGCATTCCAACAATATGGAGGAGGTGAACGAAGTGCTAGCAGGCGATATATTCGCGTTGTTCGGTGTCGATTGCGCGTCAGGTGACACGTTCGTGAATGATGGCAAATTAAACCTGTCATTGGAATCGATACATGTCCCCGATCCTGTCGTCTCTATGTCAATTAAACCAAAGAATAATAAGGACAGAGATAACTTCTCGAAAGCGGTAGCGAGGTATGTATTGAAATATATAAGCTAGCTAATTTATATTTTGTACTAACGAAATTATGATAAAAAAAGTAGCCTGTAATATTCTCGCGTGTATTACCTACGTAAAACTTTTTAAAACTTATGTCATTATGAGGTTTAGACAGTCTCAGAATTTAATTTTTTTAAGATTTACAGTTCTATTTTTTCTTTCAAATGTCTAGCTTTAAGGGAACAGACTAAATTAAAGGCTAACTATGTGGTGGTCTAAACCTACCAGGGCGCATCTGTTTCGTTTTTATCTACTTTTACATCAATTACCCCCTGGAGGGGGGTAGAGAATCGAAAAAAAAGTCTGAATTATCATGTTTTTGTATTATTGAGTGCTGAGACTTAGTAAAACTATGTATATATTTAGGTTTACTAAAGAAGATCCAACATTCCATTTTCGCTATGACGGCGACAACAAGGAGACGATAGTTTCGGGTATGGGCGAGCTGCATTTAGAGATATACGCTCAGAGAATGGAAAGAGAATACAATTGTCCAGTCGAGTTGGGAAAACCTAAAGTTGCCTTCAGGTGAGAGAAATAAATCTTTTTAAATATATTAAAAAAAAAACATTTCTATGCTCTTTGATTGTCTTTGTATCAACCATAGACAAAATAAACATTAAAATTTACAAAATTAATATAAAAATTATATAGTTTAATGGCTGCTGTTCATAGTATTTAATGAATTTAATTTCGTCCTTGAATCTAATTGAGATAATTGCTATATTCCCATTTTATGGCCAAATTCAATTCTAATGACTGTTATCCAAAAATTAATATGTTAATTCAATTGTTTAAACTTTCAAAAAAAGGCTTAATTCAACGTAGCGCGATAGCAAATAAAAGAAAAATTCACAGTGAAGATGGACCCCTGACGTAAATGTGTCGTAAAATGTTTTTTTTTTAGTTTGATGTTATTTATATTTGTAGGGAAACTATGATGTCTCCGTGTGAGTTTGATTATTTGCACAAGAAGCAGTCTGGCGGCGCGGGGCAGTACGCGCGCGTCAGCGGCGTCATGGAGCCTCTACCTCCGCAACAGAACACTAGTAAGATATCTATGTAGATATAAATATGTATTTACATATTAACATATCTACATTTCTACATATCTACATATTAACATATCTACATGTCTACATATTAACATATCTACATGTCTACATACTAACATATCTACATGTCTACATATTAACATATCTACATGTCTACATACTAACATATCTACATGTCTACATACTAACATATCTACATGTCTACATATTAACATATCTACATGTCTACATGTCTACATACTAACATATCTACATGTCTACATATTAACATATCTACATATCTACATATTAACATATCTACATATCTAAATGTTACATATTAACATATCGACATATCTATACTAATATTATAAAAAGGAAAGATTGGTATTTTTGTATATATTTAAACTCAAAAAATAGGTCGATTCAAATTCACTATTAGAAAACTGTACAACGTACCTATAAATAATACTAAAGCTTATGGATGTTTGTTGACAACTTAACTAATGTTTTGCTTAGAAGAAGTTCTAGAAACACATGTAAATTTAATTCCGTGTGAAGTAAAAGGGCACCGATAATGAATACAAAAACACAATTTCAGTGTTAGAATTCGTGGATGAGACGATAGGTACGAACGTCCCGAAGCCGTTCGTGCCGGGCGTGCAGCGCGGCTTCATCGACACCTGCCAGAAGGGCTACCTCTCCGGACACAAGATATCCGGCGTCAAGTTCCGCCTGCAAGACGGCGCTCACCACATCGTGGACTCCAGCGAACTCGCCTTCTTCCTCGCCGCTAAGGGGGCGGTTAAAGATGGTGAGTTAGACACATTTTTCATACCATTATAGTTAACTTGTCTTTTTTTTATAATATGAAGTGGCACACGAGCAAGCGGCCACCTGTATCCACAGAAATGTAAAGCGATATCTGCCCATAAACATACGCAATTGCAGATGCGTTGCCTACCTTTAACTGACGGAGGAGGAGACGCACATAAAGAAGATATTTCCCCTTCCTATGCGTCTCCTCCGTCAAATCCACTTTTCCTTCCCATCCTGTCCTCTTAAGAAAAAGGTGGAAAGGGAAAAGGACCAAAATTAGGCCTCCGGCACTACACTCATCAGACAAAACGCGGAATTGCTTCCACTTCACGTCTGTTTTCTGTGTGGTCGTGGTATTGCTGGGAGCGAGCCGGACCATTCGTACGAAGATGTTAAAGCGGACTCTACCACTGTTAAATTGTCCTTACAGAGGGTCAGTACAGTATGTGCTGCATACATCTCTATCAGCGAATATAATGTATTCAATCCCTTACGCATATCCTGTCAGACAATCCATACATACTTTCTTTGGTCTACTTTTACAGCAATCCTATTCAATCTTACCACTGTCTTGTTTATATCCAAATCCTCTCGTCGCATATGTCCATACCACGAAAACCTTTTGCTTCTCAATTTCTCGTCCACTAGTGCTACTTTCACACTTCCTCTAATATACACATATATATGCCGATTGCAATTTTATTGCAGGGGAATTTATTGTGGTTTTACTACATATGTTGGTTTAATTTTTTATGGCAATTACAAATATAATACAATATATCGTTAGACCGCGCCCACTTTTGACTAAACTATCGTAAAACTGTTTAGTCTCGCTTTGATTCCTATGAGCTTATATGAAGCGCACACTACTTAATTTCTAGTTGTGCAACTAAACAGTTGACTGGCAAAGCAATAGCAATCGCTGTGTTATGCGATAGTTTAGTCAAATGTGCGCACGCTCTTGACTCTCAAATGCATGATGCATTTATACATCAATCTTCACTTTCACACCCAATAGGTGCCGGAGGCCTAATTTTAGTCCCCTTCCCTTTCCACCCTTAAGAAGAAAGGATGGGAGGGTAAAGTGGATTTGACTGTGGAAAAGACGCATAGGAAGAGGAAATGTCCTCTTTATGTGCGTCTCCTC